TGATGGCATCACTTCTCCCACCTCAGGTCAAGTAAAGGGCTGCAAGGCCTCAGACAGCACGGCGTGTGTCCGCTGGCATCTGGAGAGGGGCCGAAAAGCCGGCTAGGCTGCTCCGGGATCAGCCTGCACTCTCACAGGCGACCCTAGCAGGGTGAGTCACTCATGTTGGGTGACAGGTGTTGAAAAGAGGCCGTGAGCAGCCAGACAGACAGAGGAGGCTTTGTCCAGGTAGGGATACAGGTAGGGACGCCTAGTGACGGGTCACTGCAGACCCTGCAGAAACGCCCCTGATGAGAAGGAGCCAGGCACCCACACCACCTGAGAACATCCATCCTCATGACCCACTGGGTGGGGCTCAAACCCCACCTCCTCTTCTCCCCCGCAAGCCCCTCCTCCAGAGAATCCAGACTTCACCCACAGGTGAGAGAGAGTGGGTCAGCAGAACAGGGCAACAAGGCGACCCCTGGGAGAGGGTAAGGCGCCGCTGGTCCAGGCTGATACCACTTCCTAACAGCCCCTTCTAACTCCCATCTGATGCCCCTGCTGCCCCCTGGCATCCCTCCTTCCCTGCTCTAGTCTGCCGCACACTGGACAATATGTTCCAGCCACAGGAGCTGGAGTGTCTGGGTTCAAATCCCAGCTCCTCCAGTTGGCTGCTGAGTGACATGAGGCGAGTTGCTAACTTCTCTGTGTTTAAGTATCCTTATCAGTAGCATGGGATATGACAGTGACACCCTTCCTTGTCCCACCAGGGTTTGCACTTTCTGTATCTGGAAGATAAATCATGTGGGTACAATTTCGCATGGCTGCAGCTATTGCTGATGGCTGACAAACCTTAGGGAGGAGGGAGACCCACCTGGCCCACCCTGGGGTGTGGTGCGGCTGGCAAGCTCAAGGGACAGGATCAGGGAAGCCCCTTGGAAGCATGCTATGTCCCTTGTTCCAGCCTGAGAGTGTCCCCAACATGCCCCCACTTCTCGGACTCACTTGGGGACGCTGAGTGGACCAGGGAACAGATGGCATTTGAGGAGTCACTGCCAGGCCACCAGGCAAGGGCCCAGGGCCCCTACTTTGCTGTCAGCAGCTCAGGGTGTACATTCCCACTTGACAGGCTAGGAAACTCCTGTGACCCAATGTGAGAGACGAGGTGGTGGCTGCAGGAAGTCCGGGGACTCGCTGGGGAAACGCAAGCTGCAGGTCAGCACAGGAGAACCCAGCGAGGGAGCCCCGGGTGGGAGGAAGAGGGACTGCCTCGGCAGATGGTGTTCTGGAGGGGCTGCGGGAGGGTCCAGAGAGGAGGGCTGCTTCCCCATCAGGCAGGGTCTGATCGGCTCTTTGAGGGAGACTGAGGAGGGGAGATGTGAAGTCTGACAACTTCCGGGTTTAAATGCTGTGCGGCCCCTGACCCCTGGGATTCCGGGCTGAACATTAACCTTTCGGATCTTCAGTATTCTCGTCTGTGAAACAGAGACCACTGCAATTGGCTGGCACAGATGAGACCCAGTGGGGTAAGAATTCAGAGGCAGAGAGACCAGCTCTGGGGCCATTGGATGCCCAGGAGTCAGCGAGGACCCCCAAACCCCCGGCCTGACTTCTGCTTCCTCCTGGCCTGTCTTCCCTGGACCTGGACGCAGGCACACGTCTCCAGCCAACTCCTGCAAGGACACTCGTTTCCTCCCGGTTCTGGGCCCCTCCTGAGTACGTGCCCGAACAGATGCCCTCGCTTCCTGCCCAAGCCTGCGAGCCGGGCTGGCTTCTGCTGCTGCTAGCAGGTGGGCACAGGCTCTTGGTAGGAACCTCCAGGCTTCCCTGGGGAAGACAGCTCTCCTCCCCGGCTTCTGCCCTCATCCCGGCCCCCACTACAAACCTGCAAACACTTCTGAGTCCTTGAGAGCCCTGCTCCCTCTTGGGAGGCCCCAGACTGGAGGGTGTTGACTGAATACGGCCTTAGTCTAAAGGATTCCCCTCTCCTGTTCACAAAGCAGGCAGGAGGGGAACCAAGAAGGGGTAGCTTTATGGAGTCAGGCACTGTAGCCACCTGTGGGATTAAAGGCAAGGAGGAAAAGAAGGAAATCGACATTTACTGAGCCCCTGATTTAGTGGAACACATTAGGAAGAGGTACCATGTGTTGGGCACCTACTAAGTGCCAGGCAGTGGGCTGTGCCCGAGAATACAAAGCAGCCGGAGAAAGTGGCCCCACGCTGGCACCCCTGGGGAGCCTACACACAACCTCTTCCAGATGAGGAGGATGAGACAGCTCCAGGCCGCACACCAGCCCCAGAGGAGTCTGAACCGTGACCTTGGGAAGGAGGGGCCCAGGGTGGACACAGGTGGCTCTGTCCCCAGCCTCCCCCGCTTCTCCACCTTCTGGGGGAGGCAGTCTATTTGCTCACAGCTGTCCTTCATTCTCCGGGAGTCTGAGCATCCAAAAGTGCCGGCCCTGCAGTCACACAGAGGAGGGAGTCGCCACAGCCAGTCTTGGGGGTGCTGTAGTGGGCACAGCTCTAGGGGCGAAGGGGACAGAAAGGTACGTACGGCCAGCACCTGTTCCACACCAGCACTGAGGGATGTGGCCAAAGGGCAGGCTTTTGGGGATCACGAGGGTGACCCACAGTGGAGTTCGCCAAGGACGGAAGGTTTCTTGGGACGCAGGACTCTGCCCCAAACTGGGAGAACCCCAGGCCGACTGGCCTCACCACAAGAAGCACAGGCTGACGCGGACCTCAGAACACCCAACCTCCCATCTCGCAGAAATGACCTGATTGCATTTCCTTGCCCGATTCCACGTCCCCTCAACCCCTTTTTAAAAATGAATCTCAGCTACACAGACGTCCACTGAGAAGCGGTGCCGCTCTGGGCTCTAGGAAATGAAATCATCTTCCCCGGTTCTCAGCAGGGCAGTGACGAAGGGTGAGTTAGAGGGAGGTGAGGGGAGAAGGTGGATTCCTCTCCCACCCTGCGGCCAGCGACGGTGACTGGGGCCGTGGCTCGGCCCACTCCCCTTCCTTGTGCACCTGCAGAGAGGTCTTGGGGCCACCGCTCCTTGACTCTGGAAACCACCAAGCTCATCGTGTTGCCTCAGGGCCTTTGCACTATCAGTTCTGTCAGCTTAGAACATTCCATCTTCCTGATTTCTGCAGGGCTGGTTTCTCAGGTCATTCGGGTCTCAGCTCAAATGCTTTTCTGACGACCTTGCCCATCTCCCAGCCCCCCTATATGGATAGAGTCCTCTAACTTTCTTTCATGTGACTATAAAATTGTGCTTTGTAGTTCTCACTTCTATTGTGAATTGACTCGTTTAACTATTCATTTGTTTACCACCTTCCTTCTATTAGAATATAGACTCTGTGAGCTTGCTTTGTCCCCACCTCAGTGCCTGGCATCATGCCTGGGACAAGGATGGTCCAAAACTATTTTAAAAGTGAATGGCTATATTTGTTATTTACAGCAAAATCCTCTCACTCTAAAAATGGAAGGAAGTGAAGAAACACAAACCCCAGGACACATGAGACTTGAGACGGAAAAGGTGAGGATGTCCCCATCCTGCGGAAAGTCTCCTGAGAAACTTTTCTAGGTCCCCTGACACAGTCTACGTTAGGATTAAACAGGGCCCAGGCCAGAGCCCAGAAGGGTGCAGGGACCTGTGTCCTGCCTCCCTGTTGGTCTGAATCCCAGAAGCAATGCCTGAGGGGCATTCGTTCCCAACACTTTCTCCAAGACCCTACCTGGGCTTTACATTGAGTACCGGGTATGAGCAGACGGAGGGAGAATGAGGACAGGCCCTGCAGGCCAGGGGACCGCTTTGTCCTGCTGCTGTTTTGCAGTCATTCGCACGGTTCGGGGTTGCTGCAGGCAGCGAGGGATCGGAGCTGAGCCTGGAGGAATGAGTAGCTTTCAGATCCAGCCCGGAGAAGCTGACAGGATAGCACCCGAAGTTTATTGTGGCTTTCCACATCCTCCCCTTACCCCTCACTCTATAGAGCAGGAAACTGGGGCACAGAGAGGGTGTCAGAACCCCTGAAAGGCCCACGTCTTGCCATACCTGCAAGGTAGCTGTAAGACCCGAGTTTTCTGATCAAGGTGGTCTCCCTCTTTGACCTTTGCTCAGAATATAAAGACCAAGTTTTCTGGGCAGAGAAACATTGCTAACAACGCTTATATGCAAAATATATAAGAATAGAAATAGAGTGCCCCCCGCTGAGCTCCTCATGGGTAGCCCCTCAGGAGTATGAGATAATTCCCCTCATGGGAACCCTAAGTGTCCCAATAATAATCCTTAGGAATGAAAAGTTAAAAATAGCATCAATCCTCGGCCCTATATAAGCATGTCTTGAAAGTGAGTCGACACCTTGTTTCTGATCCGCTGGTTCAGTAAAGTACGAGGGTCCAGGTCGAGCTTGCAATAAACTCCTCATGTAATTGCATTGGACTCGACTTCTTGGTGGTCTTCTTGGGGATTTCGTGACTTGGGTACAACAGTAGCCTTTCCCAGGCTTCACTGGTGCTGACAGGAGGCTCAGGACTCCTGGATCAGAGACAAAGGACTTTACTACTCACAGCACCATAGGTGGTGTAACAGTAACCCGTGCCCTGGGGGCAGCTTAGGGGACCTCCTGGATAGGGCACACTCAGTAGGTAGCATCATAGCCCAGGAACCCTGAGCTCAGGATATTCTGTCTTTCACAACTGCAAGCTGACCTGCCCTGCATGTGTCCCAGACACGATCTTTATTATTCTGATCAGAGAACAAACCTGCTCTCTGGCCCAGAGGAAATCATGGTCTCTGTCTTCCAAAGCTGCTTACCATGCAGAAAAAAGGTCCCAAATGAACGGTGGGGCTGCGTGTCACTCATAGGGAGGGGAGCGACAAGTTCATATCACAGGTTTAAGAGTCAGGTCAGGAAAGCCAGATGTGGTGGTGCACACTGTCATCCCAGCACTTGGGAGGCTGAGGCAGGAGGATCGCTGAGAGTTCAAGACCAGCCTGGGCTACACAGTGAGTTTCAGGTCAGTCTCAACTACATAGTGAGACCCTGTCTCAAAAAAACAAACAAACAAAAAAAAATCAGACCAGGGGATAAATGACCAGTTGGCACAAGATTTGACTCCAGCCCCTGGACTCCTTTATCCATCTGTCCCCAAACTCACATAAAGCTGATGCATTTGATGCCCAAGTGACAGTGGCTCCTCTGTCCCTGGCAGCAGCTCCCTCTCATAGCCTCTCCAATTGACGGGCAGGTGGCCAGCTTTTCCTGGGGATGTTACTGAGTGATTCCATCTTCACAGGACACGTGAGTTGTACCAGGAGTCCCAGTGTCTCATCCAGGAAGGACATCGGGGGCCATGTCTTTGTCCGAGACACTTCCAGCTGTGCTGCCTGGGCTGGGTCTTCAGGTCACAGCCTCAGTGAGTTCTAACTGGAATCCACCAGAACAAGACTGCTATTTTATAGCTCAGTACTGGATGAAAATCACCGGCTCTAGTTATGAGATGAAGCAGGGCGGACAGCGTCCCCATGGGTGTAGAGAACATGGGGACAACTGGACAGGGTCCCAGTGGCCAGACAGTGCCCACAAATGTCCTGGTGTTCCCAAAGCAACCGCCAAATCTATGCAAAGACCACCACGGTAGCTGTCAGGGATGCAGGGATGCAGGCGTGGAAGAAGGGGCCTGGGCTTGCAAATTCCACAAGCACAGGCCACACAGCAGAACATGCACAGCCCTCCCCAGGTGCGCTAGCAGCCCTAGGAATCCACACTGGTCAGTGACAACCACGTGGAAAAGCAGAGCTGGCTTGGGACGGTGAAGGGCAGTAGGATTTTCTCTGAAGTTTTGAATAATTACATTAATTTTCAACAAGATGCATAAAGACAATTTCGACAGGATAAAGTAAAAAGCTTCTTTACACCCTTCTCTTCCTGCCCTCCCCTCTTCCGGTTTGTCCCTTCCCCACCTGGTCCTCCTGCCCACCAGGTTCTTCCTCCCTGTCATCTTCACGCAGAGGACAAGGGGGTGTCAGGGTCTTCTCCAAGGCCTCTGATATGTGTGTACCCCAAGGATTCAGAGGAGAGGGTTTCTGCCACTCCCTGGAGTCGAAGAAAGGTTTTTTGGATGAAAGGGGAGGGGAGCGAACTCTAGCTCCTTGGAGAAGTTGGAGATGGCCAGAGTTTAACCGAGTTAAGGTCAAACACCCACTTCCCCAACTCTGGCCTTCTCGCTCCGCTCCACCCACCCTCCCCACCCCTCAGCTCCGTCTGGGAGCCCGGGTCCAGGTAGAAGTGCCCGGGAGCAAACACTGTTCCCACGCATGACCAGCTGACCAGCTGCGCGACCTTGGGCAGCGACCTGACCTCAGGGGGCCTCAGTTTCCTCATTTGCATTGTGAGCCTCTCAGGCGAGGCTTTTTTGCAGCGCGCTTAGTGCAGAGCCGCACGCGCACGTGAGGAAAAGCCTCCCGCGAGGTGGCTGTTGGCATCTCCTTCACCGGGAGAAAGGAGACCGGAGGACCGGAGGGAAGGGGTGGGGTCGCCCAGGAGTCGGCGGCCGCGCGTCCTCTCCGCAACTCCGGAGGCGCCGCACCTGGGCGCCCGGCAC